TCTCTCATGAATAAATAAATAAAACCTTTAAAAAAAAAAAAATGAGCTCTGACATATAATGTGTGGAGGATTCTTGCTAAAGGCTTTTCTGGTATCAGATACATTCTGGTACCAGAGACTTTCTTTCCTACACAATGTCTGTAACATATAAGACATAATTTATTACCGAAGGTGTTGCCACATTCACTGCATTTGCAAGACTTATTCCCTGTGCAAATTCCCTATTATCTACTGAGGCCTGACTTCTTAGAAAAGGCTGTTCCACAAACACTACATTTCTACCCCCGAGGAACTCACTGAGGTTTAACAAGGGTTGAGTTCCCAAAGAAGGTATTTCCACAGGCACTGTGTTCATCTCGCTTTGCTCTCGTGCAAGTTCACTCATGTATAAAGAGCTATGACTCCCTGAGGAAGGTTTCTCCACCTTCAGTGAATTTATAGCTTTCTCTCTTGTATGAGTTTTCTTATGTTTAATGAGAACTGACATGTGGGCAAAGGCTTTGCCACATTCACTGCATGCATATGGTCTCTCTCCGGTATGAGTTCGCTGATGCTGAATAAGCTTTGACTTGCTCCTGAAGGCTTTTTCGCAGTCACTGCATTCGTAAGGTTTCTCTCCCGTATGAATTCTCTGATGCTTGGTCAGGTCCGACTTAAAAAAGAAAGTTCTTCCACATTCACTGCATTTATAAGGCTTCTCTCCTGTGTGAAGTCTCTGATGTGCAAGGAGGTATGCCTTCTGGGAGAAGGCTTTCCCACACACACCGCATCCATAGAGTTTTTCTCCTGTGTGAGATCGCTGATGTCTATTGAGCCGGCACTTCCGGCTGAAGGCTTTGCCACATTCACTGCATCCATAGGGTTTCTCTCCTGTATGAGTTCTCTGATGTACCATAAGCTGTGACTTTCTGGAGAAGGCTTTTCCGCATTCATTACATTCATGGGGCTTCTCTCCAGTATGAGTTCTCTGGTGTTCAGTGAGCTGAATCTTCCTCATGAATGTTTTCCCACATTCATTGCATCCGTGCGGCTTCTCTCCTCTTTCAGTTCTCTGATGCCTAATGAGTTGTGCCTTCCTGGAGAAGGCTTTCCCACACTCACTGCATTCATGTGGCTTCTCTTCTGTGTAAATTTTTTGATGTTCATTGAGCTGTGATTTAGTGCTACTGGGTTTAATGCATCCAAGGCATTTAAGTCCAGTAAGAATTGTATCCTGCTGGATGTAGACTGATGATTTCCCGCATCCACTAACCTCATCAGAATCCTCTCCTGCGTATCTTCTATTCTGGATAACAAAACCTAAATGTGATTTCAAACTTCTACAATGTGAGCCAAACTTATTGTGTCTTTGTGTTAAAGGAACAAGACTTTTGCATAAATCGAAATTGTTTCCAAGTGCATAACTTTGCTGATATCTTTCCAAAGTTTTACTCTCGTTTTGGTTTTCTGGGTGCCACTGCATATGGTCAATCTCCCATATTTCTTCTAGGAAAAAGAACAATGAAAACATCCATGATAATTTTAGGGGGAAAAATGTAAAAAAAAAAAAAATTTTGCCATGGTTTGGGCTAGTTCTTTATAAGACCCCTAAGAGAAATATATCCTATGCTCTGTGAAAAAAGACAATATTATAAAACAGCAAAGGGAAGAACAGCTACTTTAGAAACAACACTGGATAGCCTACAATGAATAAATATAACTTGGGATTCTTTCCAAATAGGACCTTGCAAAATGGAGATAGAAGTAAAAATAGAACCACACAGTGACTGGAATAGAACAAAACAAGATGGAGGGGATGGATCCATTCATCCAACAAATATTGAATGTGCTGGTGTTTAGGAATATATTACTTTATGATATTTTTTTATTTTAAAGATTTATTTTTATTTATTTTTATTTATTTATTTGAGACAGAGAGAATCAGAGAGAGAGAGAGCACATGAGAGGGGGGAGGGTCAGAGGGAGAAGCAGGCTCCCTGCC